TCTCATATATTGTGATGAATGTATGTCAACTATAGCAATTTGTTGAAATTTATGTAAAAATCTCAAAAATATTAATGTGCCTTAAATTTTGTGAGAAATTGGAATGCATAATAGTGCAATAGTAAAGTTTATGCATGCTTTTTAACATTTTTTTGTGTAGTTTTTCAATTTTTGTTTTTCAAAAATCATCAGCAAAAAACAATTCTGGAAATTTTATTATATAAATTATTAATAAAATAAAAAAAAATGTTATTGTGATGTATGTATTTTTTAAAATGGTAAAAACAGCTTAAATCATAATGCTATGAGTGTGTTTTCAGCATTTTAGTGCATATAGCCTTGACTATTTCCTGTCAAAGAATGTCTACAATAAATTGTTATAGTAATAATGACTATTATTATACATCTGTCACCGTAACATCATAAGTTACAGCGTTCCGTAATGTTGTGGTATTTTACGGGGTATTTTCATCCTACCATATAAGGAAATGCGAGTTCCAAATATGGAATGATTACGCGCGTAAGCGTCTTCTAATAAACATGGCCGCCACCAGGGTTTGACCGGACTCTACACAAAGATGTTTGCTGATTATGCTCTAAACTTTTTGAATTTCGGCATTCCCATGATGTATCCTTGGAAGGAAAATGTATAATAATAAGGTTATTACGAGGATACCCAAAGTATGCACGCATCGACCTCCGCTTTGCGTCTGTACGTACTCCCGCTGTACTCTCTTCGTGCATACTTTGAGGTATCTTCGTAATAACCTAATAAAACGAGAAAATATATTCAACAGTATTGGCAGACCACAATGAACGCACATTGAAGTACACTATATGTTATCAACGTACAACAATTAAGTGAACATAGCCTGGTCTGTCTGTGTTAGGGCATTTAATCATTGGTTTCTATGGCAAGGATAAATATAAATATCTCAACATTTTGGTCGCTGATATAGGCTGCTAAATTACTTTAATTATCTTACATTTTCCCAAAAAAGCAAAAAAAAAAAAACGGGTTGACAGTTATAGACAGATATTGTCACTGCTATAAGCACAAACGTTAAAAACGAATGAGTAGCATTCTACTTTAAGGCAACGAAGTAGTGACCACCACAAATATTCTCTCTTGGTGTATTTTGTTTGTGTTATCACCATCATAACAATTCTCTAAAACTCCAGTCATGACAATTTTAAAAATTGAAAAGAAATCATTGACGTTATGTTGTGCCTTTGAATCACGATCCAGTGATTTGTAAATCTTTAATCGGTAAATTTTTGGCGTCAGTAATATTTTATAGAATATGGTATGGTGTGGGGACCAAGCACGTAAATTGCCTTGCGAGTCTGGAAATTGTCTTGGGAGTCAGGTAAGTTTTTTCGAGAGTCTGGATATTGTCCTGGGAATCAGAATAGTTGTCTGGAAATTGTCTTATGAGTAAAGAAAAGTTGTCTGTAAATTGTCTTGAGAATCTGGAAAGTTGTCTTGAGAGTCTGGAAAGTTGTCTGGAAATTGTCTTGAGTGTCTGGAAAGTTGTCTGGAAATTGTCTTGAGAATCTGGAAAGTTGTCTTGAGAATCTGGAAAGTTGTCTTGAGAGTCTGGAAAGTTGTCTGGAAATTGTCTTGAGTGTCTGGAAAGTTGTCTGGAAATTGTTTTGAGAATCTGGAAAGTTGTCTGTAAATTCCCTTGACAGTCTGGAAAGTTGTCTGGAAATTCCCTTGACAGTCTGGAAAGTTGTCTGTAAATTCCCTTGACAGTCTGGAAAGTTGTCTGTAAATTGTCTTGAGAGTCTGGAAAGTTGTCTGGAAATTGTCTTGAGAGTCTGGAAAGTTGTATGGAAATTGTTTTGGGAGTCTGGAAAGTTGTCTGGAAATTGTCTGGAGAGAGTCTGGAAAGTTATCTGGAAATTGTCTTGAGAGTAAAGAAAGTTGTCTGGAAAGT